GTTTCAGATTGATTAAATTAAAATTTTTGATAAATTTACTATTAATTAACTAATTATCTAATACAGATAATAATTTACTCTTTAAAATAAAAATAAAAATAATTTAATTAAATGACAATTATTAATGAATTTAATTATTCATTAACTTATTAATTATTAAGAATAATTATTTATTAGTAAATAACAAAGTTGGTTAATCAAATGAATTATGATTATTAGTAATTAATTAATTAACTAATTAATCAATAAGAATAATTATTTTATAATAATAAGTATTAAATTAAAATATATTTTATATATTATATTATTTATGATTATTAATTGCTGACATTGATAAATAGGTGTGAAGGGTATTATGGTACTTTTGCGTTAATCAGTAGAACTACCTAAAAGTAGCCAATAAATAAGTTTGGATTTCCCTGCCTATTTTTTGATTACTTATAAGTTACACATAAGTAGGTAAGTGAACCCTCACCAAATATGATCTTGATAACCATCGAGTAAAAAGATACCTACAAGTAAAATAAGCTTACAAGTATGATCCTGAACATGCTCTAAGATGGGAACAAATATACAATTTTCCATTTTTCGTATAATTTGCTGTAAGACGGCCCTAGATATCAATTTTATGTTTTTTTCCCAGTCAGCGTAGGCTGCAAAAAGGTTGGCAATTTGGGGGTGACTAGTTAGCGTCCTCAGCGGAAAACGAGGGCTTCAGAAAACCGACCAATTAATGTCCTAAGAACTTGACCCAAAAAAAAAAAAAAAGGCAGCCTCCAATATATATTTATAAGGGATTCCAGTTGATAATTGATTTTTCTTCCACCCTGACGTGTCAATGATCATCTCTACTAGTCAACAGAATCGTACCAACCCTGGGGAAAAGGTAGCTGGTGGATCATATCTGTTTTAATTTTTTATTTTTATTTTAAGGGAGCAAGATATTCAAAAATGTGAACACACACACGGAGAATTTGGACCCTTCTCACCAAAAGAAAAAAAAAAGAGCGAAGGTATTACTATTTTTAATGTAAATTATTGACTTTTTAATGAACCGTGATAGATAATTGTAATCATTTTAAAAATAACACTTATCATGTCTTCATGAACACTTAATGCAACAAATCCAAAAAAATAAAATAAAATAAAATAAAACAAATCACAGTCTTCCATTGACAATCTAAAGCTATATTTAATATGGTAGTGATCTTTACGCTTCTTTTTAGTAATGGATGGATTCATGTCCACACGAGGAAGAAAAAAAAAATTCATTCGTGTATGACATTGTTGTCGTGTTAGCAAGATAATCGTATAATCAGGCTATCAAAAGTAAATCCACAGCGTTTATTTCAAATGTAACTGGTGGCGTTTATTGAATATATAGCCAGTAATGGAAACAAATTCGAATTCTCTCTTTCCTACATCATTGATATAAGAGTTATCGCCTTTGAGATCATAAGTTGTTCAGCTAATCCAATATAAAATTTTAGTCCCCAGCCATTTTCATAGCCCTCCAAAGTCTTGTTTCAGTGGAAGTGATTTTAAGATAGCATTTGAAATTATTAATGTTCAATCCCTATTTGGCACATATCTTAAACTAGATTTTAGAAGGGGAAAAAACACAACTAGGTTTCAACAGGATATGCTAAACCTGTGAAGACAGGTAAAATATGTACGTGTTTTGAATCCTGACTCACATAATCAATTGGGAAAAATTACATATAAAATTTATGGCATACTAATTTCTTTACAACTAAAGGGATTTCAGAAGGCTATATAACTATCAGAACATCCCCCATAACTTTGGATGATTATCAGGTACTTAATCCCCAGCCGCATCACTTTCAAAATATATATCATAAACCCCCCTCCCCTTTATGTTAGGGGTTTATCATAAAACCCTTCTAAAAATATGAACCACAAATTTCTCTTGCGAAAATATACCTTAGCGTAATTTTACTCACCCATGTGCAAATTGAGGTTAATAGTCTTTTGAGAGTTTTCCAATAAAATATTGAAGTTAGAGGGGTTTTCTGATACCCCATAACTTTACGGGGGTTGTTGCCTGATAATCTTCAAAAACTAAGAGGGTTTTTTGGTAGTTAGCCTTCCTAGAAAGCATGATTTAAGTTTGTTTCCTTCAATTAAAGTTTTTGGAAATATGTGTTACCTAGCTCCTATAATTACTTTGTGTTATGCATTTACTCTGTTGGGTATACTTCACCTACTTCCTTTCTTACTTACATGAGTTTTTTAATTAATAATAAGTTTTTTGCACTAAGGTATGTAATGGAATTGACTTTAATTCTTTTCTTTTATTTATTAATTATTATTATTATTATTATTTTTGTCGACTTAGAATGTTTCTCCGTGGAACTTACAAAAGGCGACGACCCATCTCAAGGCTAATTCTTTATAAATTATCATACGCACATACACTTGCAGGAGAAAGGAAAAAGCAGAGCCACAAGCAGCTAGAAAAAGAAAAACAATGGAAGTAACGGAGGCCAGCATTGTGATTCCCAGCGAAGACACCCCAAAGCGTAAAATCTGGCTCTCGAATTTCGATCTAACGTTCGGCGTTAGAGAGCACACCCCATCGATCTATCTCTACCGACCCAACGGCGATCCCAACTTTTTCACGGTGGAGACGCTGAAGTCGTCTCTGAGCAAGGCTCTGGTTCACTTCTATCCATTGGCTGGTCGACTCGAGGTAGGCGAAGATGGCCGTGTCGAGATCAATTGCACGGGCGAGGGTGTCCTGTTCACAGTGGTTCAATCGGAATACGGTGTGGAGAAGTTCGGAGACTTCGCTCCGTCGGACGAGTTGAGGCAGGCCTTGGTGCCTCCGGTCGCATCGTCTCAGCCACCGTGCATGTTGCTGATGGTTCAGGTGCGTGTTTCCTTTCTAAATTCAGAAACTCTACTCGCATCGATCCGTGATATGTCTCCTGAAAAGGGAAATGCATAAGCTCGAACTTCTTTAAGCTCAAATGTAACTTGTAGCATTAACAGCTAACAATGATGATGGATCCTCTTCATCTTCCATTCCCAAATTGAACTGCCATCTTCGAAATCATTATTTCCTTCATTTTTAGAGATTGCGTGTACTTCTATCCAATTTGTGTAAAAGTCAGAATATGACACGCAAGAAATTGTTCATTACATCCAATTTGAAAACAGCCATCTCAAAACTATTGAAGATAATTTAGCGGGGATCCCAATGCAAATTAGGGGTCCACCTCTTCATTCATTTCTCTCTATCTCTCTCATCTCTTATAGAGTGCCCATGGGTACTCTATAGAAAAACCGATAATTTAATAGCAATTTAAAATTGATCAATTTGTGAGAGAAAGATAGAGACTCCATCATCATTGTTAGCTGTATAAGGATATAACTTGCATAAGAATATAACTTGCGGGGGATGATAAAATACCTAAATACAACAGTCCTACGTGGCTAGAGATCCTCTACGACCTTGATTATGGAGAAATCATACATAACTAAAAGCATCTCTATAATTTTTGGATTCCATGCGTGAATGATACTAGAATCTAGAGACCCAATATAGAAAATATCTTTTAATTGTGGGACTCCGTGCACTCCTACACTGGCCATAACCCCTGGATAGTCAATACCAAATCTGAGTCCAAGCTACACAAACACAAAATAATTAAGACGAGAAGAACGTTAACCGTCACCGACAAAATTACCGCATAACCACTAGAGACTTCCCCAAATGATCAGAATAGATGTTCGTGAAAAATAAGAGCACATAAATTCATACTCCGTTTAATAATAAGAGCACATTCTCATACTAGTATCAAACTATTGTTCTTCCAAGCTCGTGTTAATTAATATTCTACTCAACTCTCAGGTAACATTTTTCAAGGGAGGCGAGGTAGCCCTCGGCCTAGCCAACCACGCTGCCGACGGCCGTAGCTCCTTCCACTTCATCAAAACATGGACGGACATCGCGCGTGGCATGTCCGACATCTCCCTCCCTCCTTTCTTCGACCGCACTCTCGTCCGCGCCCGGTCTCCGCCAACCGTCACCGTGGACCACATCGAATACAAGAAGCCCAAAAATTCCAACTCCAACACATTCATGGCCCCTCCTCCCTTCGTCACCTCAATCCTCACTCTCACCAAAAACCAAGTCTCCGCACTTAAAAGATCAACCAACAGAGAAAAGCCGCTGTCCACTTTTAAAGCTGTGATCGCCCACATCTGGCGTAGCGCGTGCGTCGCACGCAAGCTAGCGCCCAACCATGACACGCGCCTCTACACCGTGGCCGATGTGCGATCGCGGCTCAGCCCACCGCTTCCCGGAGCATACTTCGGTAATGCGATCCTTCGTACATCGGGGGACGCTAAGGTCGGAGAGATTGTGTCGAACGCGCTTGAATTGGCCGGAGAGAAGATACAGAGAGCGGTGGCGAGGGTGGATGATGAGTACGCGAGGTCGCTCATCGATTACTTGGAGATGGGGAACGATGAGAGGGAGTGGTTCTTGACGGAGGGGGATCTTCTTGTGATCAGTTGGCTCGGGATGCCAATATATGAGGTTGATTTTGGATGGGGGAAGCCGGAGTTCATGACGAGAGCCAATATGTTCTGCGGTGGAGTCGGGTATATATTGGATAGTCCCGGGGGGAGTGGAGATGTGAGTGTTGTTATGGCGATGGAGATTGAGAACATGGAGGGATTCAAGAAGGCATTTTATCAAGGATTTGAAGATTGATTAGGCTTCGAAGCATAAATTTTGTGTTCATGGAAATTTTGTTGGGCTGTTTGTATTTGGATGGTGTGCAAAGCGAGAGTGTTTAACAAATGTATCTGGGGATGCTTGTTGGTGGAGTTCGAGTTATGACATCGCTGATCATAATGCATCTATATATGTTTGGTGGAAATTCCACACAGTTCTTGAAATAAAACAAAAACTTTTATACTTATTTATTTTTAGACCCAATTTTTACTAGCTTTATTTCTTGAAAGCACACACTTCCAAATTCTCTTTTAAAAAAAAATTAACAAAAATGAATTATCTTTGACGGCAAGTATTTATAATGTGTATATATATATGTCACACCCTGTCTCCTAAAAGCATCTGACGGGCACGTGAGTAAGCCAATAGCATATACAATCGAGATAAACACCACCAAAAAATATATACTTAAGCCTATATCAATGATCGATACATATATCTCATTCACCATACACAGAACAGAAATACACAATCACATATAAAAATAAATATAGGGAACTGAAATACGGCATAAACAAGTATTCAGCATAAATTTACAGTGGAAGCAAGATACTCAATAATAGCAACAAGTCCCTTGGGCAACTAATAGTATCAAAGATATTATGAGTCTGATACCAATGTCATCAACTCAGATACATAAAAGCTAGGCCACAAGGACTCATAAGTCTGAAACAACAACCATAACTATCTACAAACATCAAAGTCACTACATAGCACCAGAAAGATAAAATATAAACATTAAAGTCTAGTAACAAGGCTGAAACAAAACTAAGCAAACAAATAGACAAGCTAGTCGCTAGAAAATCCATCTACAATGGATAATTGGATTCTGAAAGCAAGGGTGGGATATCTGGAGTCGCCACTGGTATGCAAATCAGGACTATCAGAGAACCACCTAGCAAGTGATAAAATAAAGAACTGATTTGTGTACATGTAATGTGTTTCATGAATGCATGATTAGTTTAAACATTAAAAGGCCATCTCATTGTATCAGTTTACTTGCTTTCATGAAAATAATATGCATCTCCAAAATTCAAAACACAGACAATATAGAAATAGATAACTAGAACAACATCAACAAAGAGATTAATAACGGGAGCGCTCTTACCTCCTGAAGTGTGATGTAAAGGTAGTTCATGCATCAAACTAATCATCTTTTACTTAATCTTATTTAGGAAAAGACCTTATGGGATAATGTGTGTTTGGTGCATCTGTTGGGAACAATATTTTGATTCTTACATTACTTGATTTGGGTGTATAGACTCATCTGACTCATCTGGTAATAGCACTTAAACACAACCGTAGGCCAAAAATTATCTATAAGTTGGCCAAATTCCTTTCGTTAGTTAACCCTGTAGGCGTAAAAAATTACCCACGGATTCCCACACGCAGCTTGAGACAGAGCGAAGATTATGAACGTCACTATCTGGGTCACAAAAGCCTAATTGATGTCGATGAGCGCATGAAGTAATTCGACAAACTGTGTGAAGCAACGGAACTGCAGAATAATAAGGATATGAACTGATCGGGAGCCATGTTTTGCTAATAAAAAGACAAAGCATCCTTCATATCCCGTCAGCTCCACATATGATCCAACTATAGGAGCTTGTAGATCTCCTTGTCGGCTTTCCTATGCACTTTGAATCACGTAATTTCGAGTTCGGATGGCAAATATACGACGAAAATGGATAGAACGCGCGAAACAATGTTCTAGGCCTCGGCGAGACACCCACAAGTGTCTCGGCCATTTCTGAGACACCGCGGGTGTCCGCAGTTCCGAAAACTAATTTTTTATAGTTTCAAGCTGTTTTTCAACGTTATGTTAGCCCTTATATTTTGATGATGTTTTACAACCAATATTATCGGTACTAATTGCTTGTTGAGTGATATTATAGTTAATATATATATCAAGCTTGTTAGTACCATGCATAGAGGTTTGGATGAAATATGAGCTACAACGATGATATCCAAAGGAGGAGGAGGCATAGTGATGAAGCATTGTTTATTCAAGAACAATAAATGCAATGAGAAGCTTCATCAACTCAAGCTATATCAAGACTCAAAGAATTGTAATTCTATGTGAGGATATTAGCTAGTTTTTCTTTTCTCTCTAATACTATAATGTAGGCAAGTAGCTTAGATTTCATTTGAAGCTATTGGGATATCACACACACGTTTTCATACTTATATTTTTGAGCGTTTTGACAAAATATCATTTTTCACAAGTATGAGGACCTTTTCGTAAAATTCCTTTTCCAAACAGTTTGTTTTTAATGTTAAAAAACAATTTACAAAGTTACACAATTTTTGGAAGTCATTTAAATATTTTTATAGATTTTTTAAAGAGTCATAAACAGGTTTTATAAACAGTATCAGCCATATCAGTTTACGGTCGACTACACCTGAGTTTTTACCTGCGGAGTCAAACAGAAACTTTCGCGGTCGACCGTCACGGTCGACCGTCAGCTCGAATTTTCCCACGGTCGACCGCTATGGTTGGCTCGCGGTCGACCGTGAGATTCTCACAGTCGACCGCTGTTTACTCTAACGTCTTTTAACGTACAGTTTTAGACGATGATTTTTTACGGGATTTAGGGGATATGGGTATGGGTCTTGGCTGCAGTGTTTTCTCCTATTTAAACCCCCTATACCCCTTCTTCTTCAAGTGTCCCAAACATTTTGAAAAATTAGAGATCTGTTTTTCCTGAGAGCAAACTTTCAAAACTTGATTTTCTCTGTTTTCAGTTTTACTTCCTACCTTCAGTGTAATCTTTCTTCTTGCCATAGGGACATTGTAAAGAGAGAGTTTTTACACTATTACTACTGTTGAGAGCTTGATCTTGTGGAGATCAACTGTGTGGGAGTGAGATCTTGTGGTGATCAACTGTGTAGTTATGAGATCTTGTGGAGATCGTTGTGTAGAAGAAGTTCCGGCTTTCAAACCGGGTTGTGTAGTGGATTCTCCTTGAGAGTGGGGAGCGGGAACGTAGGTCAGCGGGCTGAACCTTGTTAATACATCACGCGTCACTTGGATAACAATTTCTAACTCTATCTCATTTGTTATAGTTGTTCATTTTGTGATTTGTTGCTTGTCTAATTTTTATTACACTATTATAGCCTTAAGACCCTAATCACCCCCCTCTAGGGTCCAACAATTGGTATCAGAGCTTGGTCTCTATATTAGTTTTTGGTTTAACCACCTTAGAGAAAAGATCTCATGGATGCTTCAATAAATGTGCATATGTTAGAGGGACAATCCACCACTAGACCACCACTTTTCACCGGTAGTAAATTTTCTTATTGGAAGGCTAGGATGAGGATTTACCTTCGTTGCATTGATCTTGACATTCTAAAACTCATAGAGAAGAAATATGTAGAAAAGCCCAAAGTTGAGAACATGACCGATGGAGAAAGGCACAAAGCTAATCTCAATGCAAAGGCCATGAACACCTTAATTTGCGGTCATTCCCCCAATGAGTATAATAGGGTTTCTACGAGTACAACCGCATACGAAATATGGGTAAAATTGTGTATTACACATGAAGGAACCCCCCAAGTTAAGGAATCCAAGATTAGTGGGCTTATGCATGAATATGAGTTATTTAAGATACTTCCTAATGAATCCATTGATGCTATGTTTTCTCGCTTTACTAACATAATCAATGAATTGCATGGTCTTGATAAGAAATTAACTATCCAAGAGACGAACTACAAGATCCTTCGTTCATTGACTCCGGTATAGAAACCCAAAGCTACGATCATAGAGGAAGCTCATGACCTTACCACTCTAGCTCTCGATGGCTTCATCGGCAAGCTTAAGGTTCATGAGAAGAAGCTCAAGGAAAAGGACAAGGAGGAAGTGCCCCTACGGGAAGTTGAGGAGCCATCACAAAAAATAAAGACCATAGCTCTCAAAGGAGCTAGTGATAACTCCTCATCATCGTCGGAGAGTGAAGTTGATTTTTCTAGAGAAGTAGCTCACCTCTCTAGAAGAATATCTAGACTCATTAAAATGAACAAGAAGTTTAATCATCGACCTAATAACAAATTTTCTTCACGTGTAGGAAAGCAATGAACTGGGTCATATCGCTAAAGATTGCCCCAAGTTCAAGGAAAAATACTTGAAGTACAAGAAGAAGAAAGCCATGTATGCCAGATGGGAGGAATCCGAACCAAGTGATTCGGATAGCAATGAAGAAGGAGCTAAGTTTGCTCTTCATGATCCCAACATTTGCTTCATGGCTTATGAAAAGGAGGTAGTTTCCGATACCGAAAGTAAATCCTTTTACATGCAATGTGATCTAGCTACCGCTTTAGAAGAATTAAACCTTGAGTTTAAAAGGATGTCTAAAGAATTTTCTTCCTTTAAAAAGTTGCCTGCTTCTTGTGATGCTAAACTAGAACAACTACAAACCTTTCTTACTTTAAAAGATGAATTGCTAGGGGATCTTGATTTTGAAAACAAACAATTAAGATCCAAGATTGAAAGACTTAAAATTGAGAGTGGTAGGATTAGACCCACTCATGCTTATGCTAATTATCATCATCATGAGAGAAATAGATTTCATAGATCTCATGCCTCTACACACAAGAGAAATTTTGTGTGCACATATTGCATGAAACGTGGTCATATTTCTACTCATTGTAGGATTAAAGATAATCATGATTTTTATGGAATGACATGGGTACCCAAAGATACCAAGCTTACTAACCACCAAGGACCCAAGATTTGGGTACCTAAAGTTACTATACCTTCATCTTTTGTAGGGAACATCACGAACACGACGTAGAGAGATGTGATACATTGATAGTGGTTGCTCACATCATATGACGGGCAACAAAGAGCTATTTGCAACCCTATCAAGGATTAAAGGAGGTAGTGTCTCCTTCGGTAGTGGAGAGAAAGATAAAATCATTGATATTGGATGTATTGGTAAGACACCCTCTCCCATTATAGAAGATGTTTATTTGGTTAATGGCTTGAATCATAATCTTTTTAGCATAGCCAATTGAGTGATAAAGGTTTTGATATTTCCTTTAAACCGGACAAATGCATTGTTAGCTCAAATAGAAAAACTATTTTTGTTGCAAATAGAAAATCTAATGTATACATTTTTGAGATAAATGAACTAGTAGATCAAGATGTCAAGTGCC